CCCCCGCCCCCTGCAAACTAACCCCCCTACACCCTTAAGGGCCCAGTCACAACATAAAGACTGCGTTCCAGTGGGTTCGGCCTCTGGAACGCACTGGAATACAACCCAGACAGCTCAGTTTGTTGTAGGCTGGGAGGGGGTGTGGCGGCGCATTGAAATCAATAGCACTGCAGCCATGCCTCCCGTCCGCAGTCTGATCGCTGGCACCCGAACGCGTGGTTTATTTGTGCATGCAATTTCAATAAACACTGAACCAGCCCAGCCCTCGATTTGGAGCATTTGTAAAATTTTGGCCCACTGTGTATTTGAGTTTGAAACCTCTGCTCTAAAGGGCCAAAACTTGAAATTTGAGCCTTGGGTGGCCCTTCTAGTATCATCCGGCTCAGCAAAAGTGGATTTTACAATCATCAAAGTCAGATGGAACATTATCTACTGAAGAGCACCAGCACCCTACTAGATACAATAGTCTTTAGAAGAAGTGGAAGCAAGGTACTGGATACAGATCCCTACTAGATACAGTAGTCTTTAGAAGAAGTGGAAGCAAGGTACTGGATACAGATCCCTACTAGATACAATAGCCTTTAGAAGAAGTGGAAGCAAGGCACTGGATACAGATCCCTCCAAAAGAATTTATTCAATTCCTCTAATGACAGCAAGGAAATAATGGCAGCCAAACAAAAGGGCTTTAGCATTGATCGCTATGTCAGAGAGGACTCTGGGCATAGCTGGGTGATTCAATATGTATCAGCTGTGATAATCCCAAATGTTCCCAGGAGAAGGTAGGTTCCGGGAAACACTTGGCAGGTACAGGTGCCTCTTCCCCATTAGTGGGAGTGAGATATCGCTGCTGATACAGATTAAAAGTGCTAAAGCCATTAGTTTTCTTTTGTCATTAGAGGAATGAAGTAAATATTTTTGGACTTTATGAAAGTCTGTTTGGTGATCCTTTCGGCTCAACTACTGAATAGCCGCCATTGAGGATTTCTCCACCCATGCTTCTAGGTTGGAGGGGGGGATAGATCCTCTATAGCTAGCTTAACTTTCTTACATTTGACAGATCCACTTATCTGCTGAAGCCATTACAAAGAGCCCTATCATTTTCCTTGTGTTGTACACCCGGATATATAGCGAAGATGTAAAACTGAATCAACCTCTTTTGTTCCATTACTACAATGTAATTGTGTAAACATTTAATCAATTCATCTGTTGATGTTCACATGTGGAGACTAAAGGGTCCATAGTGACCAATCATTGTAATTTCTTCCTCTTCCAGAGCTGTTCAGTACTCCGGAAATAAAAGTGACCCCGCACAGGGTAAAGGAAGGAGATGACATGGTGGTGACATGTGACACCAAACTGGATCCATTAAGAGCCGACACAGAGCTGCAGTTTGCCTTCTACAGAGATGGACGGACCGTGCAGGAATTCAATGTATCTGATACATACAGAGTGCAGTCAGCTCAGCTGGAGGATTCTGGGAATTATACCTGTGAAGTGAGGACAGGGACTGAAAATGTGAGGAAGATGAGTGATGGGTCTTATATCCAGATAACAAAAGGTGAGTGCTTGAACCTGACCCTTCTTCATTGTGTTTCTACTAAACGGTCAATCCGCGTAAAGCCAAGATTTCAGTTTTGTGAAGTGAGGACAGTGACTGACACTTTGAAGAAGATGGGCTCTATATTAAGATACAGCACATACACAGTAGGCTTGTAGAACTGAATAAACATGTGATCTGTCTAATTCTTCATTGGTAATAGAATTGTACACTTCCATGTCCACATCTTCCGACACTCTCAAGTTGAGGGTATAGGGGTCTTGCTCACCAAAGACCTTCACCATTTTTTAGACAACTCCAATCCAAAACAACCTCTTTAATAGGGCCAACAGAGATTACAAAATATCCAACAGGTTTTCATGTTATCTTCCTTGAAGGATCTTTTGTTATAAAGCTGTGCTGGTAGCCCCGGGCACTGCCTCCTTGAGAAAGAGCCACTTAAGGGCTCAAAATGTTGCAATGTCTCCACAGAGGTAGGGGTGAAGCTATTTCTAGGCTGAAACTTAAGACCTTGTTCTAATCACCTTTTTGGACTTTTGTACATTTGGAAGCCACAAAGGAGCCTAGGGGTTGGTGACATTTTCACAAGGCAATTGAAAGAAGGTGTTCCACTCTCTTTTTGAATAATTGGTAGTCGAGCCTTGCATGCCAAGTTGGATACCAACTGATGATTTGTGGCAGAATAAGACTGGCGAGCTAGTCCAGCATTTAAGTCTTGTTGGCAATCACCTCATTTACATCTTGCTGGTATCCATGTGCTGCCAATTGTGATGACTGTCAACATTAGTGATAGAATTTTATCACTTGGCTTCTGTGTCTCCAATGGGAAGATTAAGCATCAGAGACTCATGCTACGTGGAACAGGATAACAGGAAAATCTTTCCAACAGGGGCACAGTTGCCTGTGACCCTACTGGTGATACTTCTCTCACCTCCTTTCCTAGTGATTGGTGCCACCAATGGTGGTTCCACAGGCAGCGACTGGCACTGGTTCTACACATTCCCGGCTTTAACTAAAAAAAAAATAGGCATCTTTAAATGTTCATGATGTTCACATTGTCCAGATATAACATTGTAGAGATCAACCGCTAAGCCCAGCAGTGTTTGGCTGTGGAAACCTTCATCGGTTTGTGGGAGCATATCAACAAGAGAACATTATTTTCAATTGAGAAAGACCTCACCCCGCTTAGTTTTAGCATACGCTTGACTTTAGCATATCAACTACTTCATGTATACTCAACAAATGTGTAATATTTCCATACAGTTGTTTTTTTGTAAGCCACATAACACCTGTCACTGCCTCTCCCCTCAGGATACCTAAAGCAGAACATAATACGAATGGTGCTGTCCATATGTATATTAGCTGCCGCTGTATGTTTCATCTACTTCCACAACAAGTGGTAGAGAAGAGGAAGAACTTCCAACAAGCACTGGACTTCAGCCAAACTGCGAGTGAATGTGGAAACGTCTTGGTTGAATTAAAAGGAACTTCAGCAAGAACTTGGTATTAATCTTAGACATGCATGTAAAAACATGATAGAGTAAAGGAATGATCTCATAGAATAGTGGGCCGTGTGTGTGCAGACAAAGCAGAAGTGGTCACACCTTCAGAAATGTTTAATGGGAAGGAAATAAAGTGACCTTCTCGAGAAAATCAGATCAAAAGACGAGATGTATGAGATATTTATAGGCTTTGACATTTGTGCTTTTTAATCAAGTTCTGAAATGACAGGAAATGTGTTGTAGTTCTGTGTGTCGTCTCTTATTAAATCCACTATTGTCAGGATTTCAAAAATAAAACCTGTAGAATATTTTTTTCTGACGAGTAAATATGAAATATTGCATATTAACCCCTTGCTGACCGGGGTGTTAAACCCCCTTCCTGTCCCGGCCATTTTTCAGTATACAGCGCTGCGGTACTTTGACTGACATTTATTCTGTCATGCAACGCTGTACTGAAATGAATTTTATACCATTTTCTGGGGGACAGATAGAGCTTTATTTTGGTGGTATTTAATCACCACTGGGGGTTTTATTTTTTACTATATAAGGAAAAAAGTTCTGAAAATTCTGAAAAAAACTGTTTTCCCTACGTTATGTTATAAAACATTAATCAGTATCCAACTTTTTGGTAAAATATAAAAGACGGGGTCACATCTGCTAACTAGACACCAAACATTTGACATGTTTGGTGTCTATTTAGCAGATGTGACCCCATCTTTTATATTTTAAAATATTAGGCAAAATTTAAGCTTTAAAATTGCGTGCGCCCTAGAAATTGCAAAAAAACATGCCTAAAACTGGCCATAGGCGACGCTTTAAAAGCTTTTACTGCCCATCAGTTTAGTGTTATCAGTGATTAATGGCCCTAAAATTATTGCTCTCACTGCGACGTTCGCTGCTATATGTAACGTGCACGTAGGCACACCCGACTTGTATTTACGTTTATAGGTACAGGAAACACTGAACAAGTCAAAACAATCTCTGCACCAGAGGAGCTTACACTCTAATGTCCCCCTACAGTCACACACTATTATTTTATTATATCATATTATATATACTATTTTACTATTATTTACTACTATTACATATTATTATATTAGGGATGTACTGATACTTTTCCTCAAGTACTCACTGATACCTTTTTTTAGTGTCATGTGACAGTTTTTCTAAAACAATACAGACTAATGATTTTAGGACAGTGGTGGAGCGCCGGGGCCCAGTCGCAGCTGCAACCGCTGCAACCCTGGTAGTTCTGCCACAGACTCCAAGCTGTAGAGGGCCTGCAAATCCCAGCAATACATTATATAGCAATGCAGAATAATACCACCAACTATAGAGAACTACAAATCCCAGCAATACATTATACAGCAATGCAGAATACCACAAACTATAGAGGAATACAATCCCAGCAATACATTATACAGCAATGCAGAATAATACCACCAGCTATAGAGGACTACAAATCCCAGCAATACATTATACAGCAATGCAGAATAGAACCAGCTATAGAGGACTACAAATCCCAGCAATACATTATACAGCAATGCAGAATACCACCAGCTATAGAGGACTACAAATCCCAGCAATACATTATACAGCAATGCAGAATAGTATGTGAATTTTCTACATTATCTGTGCTGCTGCTCTGCTCAGGGATGCCGACCTGGTAACTTGGGCAAAGGGTCTCAGCAGGGGTGAATGTGGAGGATTGCAGCTGGGAAGATGTGGAAAATTGCAGCAGGGACAGATGTGGAGGATCTTAGCGGAGGCAGATGAGGAGGATTGCAGCAGTGGCAGATGCAGAGGATTGCAGCAGGGTGGATGTGGAGGATTGCAGCAGGGGCAGATGCAGAGGATTGCAGCAGGGGCAGATGTGGAGGATTGCAGCAGGGGCAGATGCGGAGGTTTGCAGCAGGGGCAGATGTGGAGGATTGCAGCAGG